GAGTATTTATGAGACTTAACAAATTTGGTGAATAACCCTGTGCAAGAAGAGGCATCGGCTCAATATTAGAAACACCCGGATGTTGTGGATTTTGAAAAGACACTGTGCTTGTTTACAGGTCTGTGAGAGAGAAGAGGCAGCATATTCACCTGCGGCCAATGTTATTTCAAATAAGTAAATAAATAGTCTGGCAGCAGTTCTCCCTTAAACAAATTTCATTTTGTGCCTGTGTTGATATCCTAAAAAAGATTATTTTTCGCTAAATTGGTTTTGTAAGCATAAGATGGCCTACACTCCCTTGGTCAATCAGAATGTACAGTACAATTATTTTCCTCATTTTCGTGATTCGCAGATGTCATTTCATAACTGGAGTGAATATCATCTTACCTTTTCAGAGTTTCAGAGCTGGAAGAGTTAGAGAAAACCTGGAATGAAGCCTGGCAGCATGCAGCTACATTAATAACTTGAACTATAACACAGCCACATCTTTCAGAGAGAAACCAGGTGAAGCAATTTAACAGAAACTGAAATATTCCGCAGAGATCACAAACTGGGGTAGTCTTTTCTTTTTTCCACGTCTGTTTAGCAAGCCTGTGCAGAATTAAAATGAAGCCTGTCATGTGTTTTCCCAATAGTTCCATGCAATTTTTGCTTTTGGCCCATCGTGCAGCAATAGAGCTAAAACTTCAATAAATAGTTGTGAGAGCGCTGGAAAGGCCGCAGAGATCACGGAAAAATATGACTTGATGAAATGGACTCTAATAAGATCACCGAGCGTCCTCAGACCTCACCTCATACCCAGACTTTTCATTTCACCCAATTTTCTCCCTGAGCAGATGGTGAGAGGTTTTTGAATATAGTAGGGCAGAAGAGACAGACAGCTGTCTTAACTGTTTGTTGCCCTAGTAAGGTATTTTCTTGTTCTTTCATTAATGGGTCTGTCTTGCTCCAGATAGAAGTTAATTGTACATTGGGCAGAAGCAAGAAATCCTTTTTTGGGGCATCTTTGATTAGCTTTGTGTCACAGTCTCACTGAAAAAAACTGGTGACAGGACAGATCTTTCCTTTTGCCTTCCCTTTCTTTCGTCTCTCTCTTTTTCATACAACATTTTTTTTTGTGTTTGCTCTTGTTTGTGCTCTGGCTTCAGAACAAACAAAACTTGTGGTGGTCCGGTGGCACTCCGGGCCAGGTTAGCTGGCGGAAGAAATGGCAAGCTCATGGAGGAGCTACAAATACAGTTGCATTTGTCAGGGAGGATGGACAATGAACAAGGTCAGGGAAGATCAAGGATTCTGTCTGGCGTTAAGCTCCACTGTGGGACATGAGACTGGATCTTGGAGGAAGGCTGCAGTCTCCCGATGTTGGACAAACAGATGTGGTGATGTGGTCCCCAGAGCCAAGGAAGTTCATCCTCACTGAGCTGACAGTGCCGTGGGAGGAAGGGTGTGAGGAGAGGAAAAGAGCCAAATACGGTACAAGACTGCAGAGGGAAAAGACTGGGAGAGGCAGAGGAGAGAGCCTCATGCTGGCTCTGGAATAGGAGGGAGGCCAGGAAGACATGAGCAGTGACTGGCACAGCTGACCCACCAACCCACCAGCCCCTGTTGATGTCATGGATCAGGGTCAAAACACCTGTTGAAAGCTGGGGCCGCTGTTTCCTGGCCAACAGCAGTAATCAGCACAATGATTGACAAAGGAGAGCATCAGTAAACAAGAAGGATTTCCCTTGTGTTCACAAGGGCTGTAATGACACTGCTGCCTGTTAATGGCAGCTACCAGTTGTTCAATGGAACAAGGACACAGCGATGAACTGATAGGATCACATTTTTGGGGTTGGTATGTTCAAAACAGAAATGTGACTTTCTTAATATGGGAAGTTTGAATATGCAGGAAAGAAAAGGAAGTGAGCTGTCACAGAAGACATACGAAAGTGGGGAGACTAGAAAAAAAAACACTGCAAAATAGAGTACAAAGAGTGCCATAGAGGGAACACAATCTTCCCGTTTCTGTAGGGGTCTGTCATTTGTAAGACTTTAACTTAGGAGTTGCTAATGATGCTTTTAAACCATGTATAACAAGCATTTAGCTCTAAATTATCCATTAATAAGATGTTTGTATATGAGAACAATCAGCCTTTTGTTTATAGCCCACAGTTAATCATTGATAAAGTTCAATTGCTACCATCTTAATGCCACATTATTAATACTGCTAATATAGCCAAGATGATAAAACCTTTTACCTTGCAGTTTTCAACCCTTAACCTAACATTAATTTAGATTAGTTACCAACCTTGTGACCAGCAACAGATTAAGGCATGGAGGGAAATGGCTGTTTTGGCCATCGATGGCAAACAAATTGGTTAAGACACTTAAAGGCCTGTCTATCGTTACCCTGTTGTAAGTGAACAGAAGGATCATGACCTTTTCCGAAAGAGGTTTTCCAAGGAGTGGAACCGAAACAGCAGTTCAGACAGCTGCACATATGGCAAACTGTTTGAGCTGGTCTCCAACGAGTCCAGTCAGGCAGACGGCGAGTCTTGCATGGCTATGTTGCTAGGAGATCGGATGTGTATGATTACAGCAGCTCAATACCATCTAGGCCTTAGGCCCTTCAGGTGAAAATCTGGAGAAAATTCAATAAAAACTCATTATAGCTTTCAGCCATGACATTTGCCTTTAATGTAGTGTTTTGAAGGGTTGCAAAGATTTGTAACCCTCACTTTTTCCTTTGTAGATCAAATAAATCAAACACTATAACTAATCTGACTGTGAAGCCAGGAGAGCATTTTACCTGGTTTTAATACCAGCCTTAAAGCAATCTAAAGCTGCAGTTAAAGGTGTTTCATCAATGTGACACAATACGTTTCCTCATTTAATGAATTTCAGAGAAATTAGGTCATCTCAAGCATTCCACCTGTAAGCACTCTAAATGAAGGCCTTCCTTCAATATGCCAATATACAGTATTCCATTAGCCAAAGCATGACGGTGGCATCAGGCTTAGTCTGTGTGTTAAAAATTAACTTTGGAGCACAACGTTTGAAACATTTTGGAATATCATCAAACCACAGATATGATTTACTTATTAAGTACATTATCAGAGTGCACTTTAAAACCATAATAAAATCTAATCAATTGAAAAGTGTATCATTCTTTTAAAGGCATCATACTGTATATAGAGATATAGAGAGAGACACCAGGTTACAACTGACACAAGCTACTTCTACTGATCTGCCAAGAACACTACAAACACACTTCCCAGATACACCCACCTCCCAAATAATTCCACTTCTTAAAGCTTTGTACTTTAACTACACATAAACCAGTCTAACGGTCTTAACAAAACACCTGTTTGAGGGAATTTATCAACATGCCTGGCTGAGATTTACAGCTACTATTGACAAAATGTGTGATATGTGTTTATATATGAAGCCCGCTTCAATTTGATCCCCTCTCTATTGCTTTTCCATTCCACTGACTGCAGTCAGGGTGATTAATTGTACAGATCTTCCACCCACACCGCCTTCAATCTCATACGACTGTTTCTCTGGCTATGTTGTGCTTTCCATTAAATCCATCTTGTATTGCAGTCCTTAGACACACTAGTTCTCTATTCCAAAGAATATGAATGCTTTTGCAGGGAGAATTCATCTTCCTTACATATGTATGAGAGCCTGGGCATTTCATTAGTTTTGCCAAATGAGGTGTTTTGTTTGTTCCCATGTTTTCCTTTTTCTATAATCAAGAATGTCCCAGTGCTCAGACAGAAGATGTAAAGATTTTCTTTTTCATTGTATTCAGATGTAGTTGTGAACTAGCTGCACTGATGTCTCTCCTCTGGAATGCTTAGTCAGTATTTTCCAACAAGACCAAGAAGGGAAATATCTTCTTTCTTATCCACTTGAGAAGGGATGAGAAACACTTGAGAAACAATAGGAGCTTACTTATCCTGTTGCCTTTATTTCTCTTTTCTTCAACCACATAAAATAACATAGAGTTTCTCTGCCTTTTGTTGTGCATTTCATAATTCTTAAAAAGACAAGATCACTTTTCTGCGTTAAAACCCTTAAATTAATAAGTGCATTATTTAATTACAAGCACCGATTATGAGAAGTGTTGATTCTTTATTTCTCTGGGTCGTGCTTCTTTCACATTATTTCAACAGGTGTATTTTGTTTATTCCATTTATGTCTTTAATTCATCTTTAGGTCCTCAATCTTTGCGTAATTCTTTAAGCTTTTTGTTTCAGAGACCATAACACATACACATTCAATCCACAGGCTTGATTTGCAGTGGAGTAAATTCTGGGATGGTTTAGAAGCTGGTGCTTCTAATATCAAGAAAAAGAGACATCTTGTCACGAGATGTTTCATATTTCTGCCATGGCTGTTAGTTCAAGCTTTGTTTTTGTCTTCCTATTGACTTTTCTTGAGTCATGGCCACTCACACTTTTGGTATATGAGAGCCCTCGGCCCCTGAGCTCTGACTGTGATTTAAAGTTTGGTTTGCTTTATCTCTTTATAATTCTCGAAAGGTAGTAGTAGAAAACAACACCATTTTTGTGAAAACAAAAATAAAGCACTTTTGGAGATTTTGAATGTCAAAGGCCATAGAGGTCCAACAGGCGCAACATTTTATTTATATGGGATGGGAGGTTTCGTGGGGAAGCATGCGATGAAGGATCTTCCACGTAATGGAGTTTTTAATGAATGTCCAGAGGGATCACAGCAAACAAAGGTCTCCGTCCCTCTGTCACCTCTGCTGCTTTAAGTTGTAATCCCCTATAACCTCATTGAAGAACTAGAAAGCCAATAGTAAGCCAATAGTAAGCCTCTCTATTGCTCACATTCCTCTTTTTGTATCCCTCTTCCACCACTTCACCTTTACAGCTACTCCTGTGGTTCACTTCTCTCTCTTCAGTAAACATTCCTAAATGCATTTTCTTTTTGGGTGATGTTTTTTCTTATGAACTGAAGATCAAGCTCCATGGCTCTTATTTGGTGGGGAAGCACTGACAAAGAAGATCTGCTGAAGACGAGTTCATGCCTTTTGTAAGAAACCCATGTTGTGTTTGTGTCTCAAACAATCTTCCCTCTCCTTTCTGCCTGTAATTTGCGATGGTTATAATACTGTTAATTTGAAGGACGTCACCCTTTTGTGAACCCAGGCTGTCCTCTCCTCCATATCAGAACAGCGAGCAGCTTCATTAATGTGACAACCCCATTAAAGCCATCTCGCTCCCTGAGGGTACCATCGTTAGGCAGCGGTGTACTGGCATTTCTCTGAAGACAGAGCCAAGATAAGTAGCCCTCTCCCCCCCGTAGACTTATAACACTGACCTTTCAACAGAGCAACTGTATGCTAATTTTAACCTTTGATGCATCAGTGTTATGTTTTATCAGCAGTTTAAAAATAAATTGCCACAATATAAATGATCAACTCCAGCTACTTCAAACAGAGAATAACACACCACACTCACTCGAGTGAATAGTGCCCACATGGAATGGTGCCGAGAAAACGTCTTTGAACCAGCTAGGTTGGTCCATTTTCTCACATATTTTAGACCTAAAGTGTCATTAGATCTTCAAGGAAGTCTTGATAAGAGATTAAGATAACGTCATTAAACACTAAGATGTATTTGCATTATCTAATTACCAAAATAATCCAATGGTAAATATCCACATGTGATTAAGTATGTAAACCCTTAGATTCAGTAACTGGTGTCAACTTCTTCAGCAATGAAGAATGACTTCTTGAGCAATGACTTTCAACTGAACGGTTCCTGTAAAAGTCCATCATTCTCTTTAGGCTTTTATGAATTTTGCTCAGTAGAGAATTGCTTCAGGTCAGTGGCATAATGTACAGTATGAGGATTTTCTTGCATGAACAACTGGCTTTAGGTCCTGCTGGAACATTTCAAAGGAGTTAAGGTCCAGACTTTGACTTGGGCAACCAAAAATGCAAACATTCGTCCTCAGCCATTCTGTTCTAGATCTGCTTGTATGTTTAGAATCATTGACTTGCTGCACAACCTGACATGTCTCCTGACAGTACTGACACAGCACCAGTTTTGTGGTTCCAGTAGTGGTGACAAGGCTTCTGGGTCACACGGCAGTAAAACAGCCCCAAACCATGATGCTCCCACCATCATGCTTGACGGTCAGGATAAGGCCCTTGAAGGTAATGTTTAGTTTTCGCCACTTTGCACAAAACATTTCTCCTTATGGCCCAACAAATTCAGTCTGTGACTCATCTGCTCAGAGAACATTCTTCCAGTAGGCATGTGGATCATCCAAGAGCTCTTTAGCAAACCTGAGACAGCTGCTGCAATTGTTCTGCAATTGTTTTTCCACGTTATCCTCCAGTTAAAACAATTCCTCTTTTTCCTGATAGTTGAAGCATGAACAGTGACATTATCTGCAATGAGAGAATCTGTTCCTTTCCTTAGCGGATCTCATTATAATCTACAATTTTGGGGGCAAAGCTCTAAAGTAAATGGCAGTGCTGTAGAGTGCAAAATTAATTCTCTTTTACCTACTATCGTAGGAATTGTTCTGTACGTGTATGACTGGTTAAGCACAAATTACTCTTCTGTAATATATTCCTGGTACACTCATGCTTATTTTACTGTTAAATTTTGTCAGCCTTTGCATATGTGTATGTCTTACTATTCCAAACCACTGTAGGGATTTCATTCATGTCTGAAGGATTCATCCATTTTATATTCTGTCACAAACATGATATTTTTCATACGAAGAGAACGATTTGGAACAGAATGCTAATACTCTGATAATACAAGATTAAGTCAGCATGTGTTTGTATCAAATGAAACAGCTCTGTGGGGTGCCTTATCTTTGTAATTAAGCAAGGAATACATTTGCTAAGGCACAATATTTAAAGTACTTCAGAATTTAGCCACTGCCATTCTATTTTAGATATCAGGACTTGATTGATAGAGGAACATGTTTCAGTGTCAGTTTGTATGTAGATATTCTGTGCCAGGAGTAGCAGCTGTAACTGTGACTTCTCCCAGCCAAACACTGCTGAGAAGGGGCTTGCAAAAGAAAAGACTGGGCTCTTGACATTTCTGCAGCCAACGCGTTCCAGTGGATACCTTGGTGCCTAATGAAGGGGAGCTCTCTGATGTGGGGTGTTAATGATGCCTCGTTCAGGAAGGACAGGACATCCATCACCAGTGTCAGCTCTGGCAGCCAGTGTTACTCTCAGAATAATTCACCACAGTCATGAAAGCTCTTTGACAAACTATTTTTTTCCAGGGTTTCAAAAGAACCCGCGGCCCTTTAATTAAAGCCAGCTTACCCGGCTAAGAACCATTCTTTGCCGATATTGTGGATGTCATGTTGTTCCACGTGCTTTCAGGACTGCCTGAAATCTGCCAGAGCATGCTACCTCCATCACTTTGGGTACCACTGTTCTCCTAGAATATGTCAGGCTGTACAACTCTAGAGCTGGAAAGTAAATTTACTTAGGAGCTGATTCTGCATCACACTGCTTTATAACATGGTTTTCATATTGATGGACACTGTGAGAAACGAATCAGCAAAGTGGCTTTCTACTCCCGAAAGAGCACATGTGCATGGTCAATTTGAAAAAGCAGGATCCTTCAAAAACCAAAAAACATGTTTATTTTTAGGAACAAGTAAAGGTTTATTCCCTGCTGAAAAGAGAAGAAAAGAAACACAACGTTTCGGCTTTGGAACCTGACACCAGAAGAAGGCTTCACTGCCAAAATGTTGTGTTTCTTTTCTTTTCAGCACAGGAATACACCTTTACTTGTTCCTTTGCAGCCTACGCATGCTGATGCAGCTCCCTACGTGTTTACTTTTATTCGTCTGTCCGAACTTGACAAAAGGCAAACATCACTTGATAAGGAAAAGCTAGCTCAGCTTCTTTTATAAAACATAACATTGGGGTTTGATAACTTGAAGCTTTTGACAGAAATGGCCTCCAGGGGTCTGTAGTGTAAGTGAGAACTACAGTGTACAGAAAAATCTCCTGTGTGCTCTCAGTTTACCTGGTGTTTGTGTGCAATGCTTATCCTTCTAGTTAATTTCATTAACCTTTTGGAGAGCAGTGATTAATAGCAAACATAATTAATAAATTGCCAACTCCGCACTTGTTTTACACTGTATTCAGGCTGATCAATAGTCTGGGGACTGGTTTCCTCAGCCTCGTAATTGAAAACAGAAGCTAAGGAGCTCAATCTCTGCAGACCTTAAAATGTAGCAGATATGATTCAGTGAGGAGCTGCGTCTCACCACCACTCAACATTTCAGCCCTGACTAGCACAGACAGGCTTGTTTGAAGTTGCCCCCTTTATTTCTGGTTCCGTTCTGCCGTGTGGTAACATACAGTATGCTGCTGCGAGATTAGTGCTCACTGCACCTGACAGCTCCCGAGACATTTTCTCAAGAGGCTCTTGGAATCTGAGTGGAAGCAGCTACATCACGTGGGAGCATGGTGTAGGCAGGCCTGAAGGCACACTCCTGAAGGCATTCATTGCATTCCTTGCATTGGACTGATTGCTGCTTTATTGCTTTCATATCTGTGTCCTGGCATTCTGTCCAGGTGTTACAGTACATACTGGACACCACTGTAGGAATTGTAGAACAAAATCTTTTTTGACTTTGGTATGCAAAGTTTAAATGAGGTCTGTCACACAGCATTAAGGGAGTATACCTATTAAGGGACAAGTAATAGGTTTATTCCATGCTGAAAAAAAGAAGAAAGAGAACACAACGTTTCGCCGTGGAGCTTTCTTCAGGTGTGAGAGAGACAGGGCAGTAGGCAAAGGTAAAGTAGCAGGAGAACAAAGGCTGGGAGGGAGGAGGAGTGAGAGGCGGGAGCAGGGGACAGACAGAGAGGCCAATCAAGAGGTGTGAAGTCAGAATGGGTGCAGAGTGGTGTGAAATGAAACTTCCGATACATTCTCCCTTCTCTTAACGACAGACTACTGTTCTTTTAAATTTTCTCCACTCATTGGAAGTTTCATTTCACACCTCTCTGCACCCATTCTGACTTCACACCTCTTGATTGGCCTCTCTGTCTGTCCCCTGCTCCCGCCTCTCACTCCTCCTCCCTCCCACCCTTTGTTCTCCTGCTACTTTACCTTTGCCTACTGCCCTGTCTCTCTCACACCTGAAGAAGGCTCCACGGCCGAAACGTTGTGTTCCTTTCTTCTTTTTTTCAGCATGGAATAAACCTATTACTTGTTCCTTTGCAGCCTACGCATGCTGACGCAGCTCCCCACCTGAACTACTACCTATTAAGGGATTTAGCAGTCATGGCTAGATGGAGAATCGTCACCGCAGTTGCTAAAATAGATGGAATTTTACTCACGTGTTTGAAAGGCTTAAATACACAAATTAAATATGATATGATGTTTTTTTTTGCCTTGCACTTACCTCTTATCGAATCATCCTCTTTAAAATTAGTTATTTATGGAGGGAAAAAAATGATGTGCTAGTTGAAGTAGTATGGAATCTGTTGCTGAGATTTTTTTGTCCACGGTATTGACAAGCTGCAGACAGCCGAGATGAAAGCATCAGTATCAATAAATGACAAGCGGTGTGTCTGAAATGCAAATGCTGAACACCGGTTTCAAAGGCAAGAGACGGCGGAGAAGGAAGTAAAGGGGTTCAGTAGAAGAAGATGAGGAAATGAGAAGTGGCACCAAGCTTGTGACAAAGTTAAAAAGGAATAAATCAACTTTTAGCCCCCTGCTTTAAGGCGTGAATTAAGCAAAAGAGGAATATTGAGAGAAACCTAAGGAAACACAGATCCTAAGAAAATGAATTGCTTTATAATGAATGAAAGAAAGGAATCAAGGAAGAGATTGCTTATGAGGAACAAAGAGTAGTTTAGCTAGGAGGCACAACGTTGATAATGTCTGCACTGAGGAACGTTTTGAAATTTTCAACAGTACCTAGAGCAGTCATTATGCAGATCATGGGACTCATTAATTTATTATCATTTAGCAATTAATTTATCCTTCTTATTTTGATAAGAACAGTAAAATCAGGCCATACAGATAAAAGCAAAAACAAAAAGATTTCCTTGGTGGATTTTACACACTTCTTTTTACATTTTGTATAATTGCATTCTTGTACTCTTGCATAACCAAACAGCCAAATACAGGCTCCACAGAATTCTGCAGGGATCTTAGTGTGGCAGGAATAATTCTTCTACTTCAGCATCAGAGTTCATTTCTTTCAGCTCTGTTATCATTTTGCTAGAGTGCCCTTTCCTCTGCAGCATCATTGTTCACTAATTTTGTTTTTGTTCCATTGTTCCCAGGGTAACAAAATATACGGACACATAATCAAAAAACATATTTTGTCCTAAAGCTTCTCAACATTTTTCTTGAATGTTAATGATGAACCTAAACTGTCTAGCTCTGATCTTGGGGAGACGATGCTCTGTTTTCCTTTCAGTTATTGCTTTCGAGAGTCTAAAGAGAAGCTGTTTCAATGCATCCTTTATCTAATGCTCACAGTGTAACACATAAGGTCTTGTAACGGGACTTCAGATTAACCTTCATTTGTACGTCTGTTTGTTTTTTATTTCATGGAAGAACTGCTCAAATCTACATCCGATGTGTGGATTGTTAATATTTTTTTTTGTTGTTCTTTGTTGACTTTTTCTGATCTTTAACTTTCATCTTTTTTTGTCTCTGTGATTCATCCTACAGGAACAGCATATGATCGCCATCTCTACACCTCCCCTGCAGGTTCTGCCATGGCCTGATGAAGATGCACAGGATTATGGGAAAGCCCTGTGCAGCATCTTTAAATTGAGGGTCAGTTGTACATTTTTCTCAATTCCAAAGGGAGCCATGTTTCTGGCAAGAAGGTACTGTGAAGTATTTCCACTGTCACTGAAACTGAACAAAACTGGACAACAATATTTCAGGAAAGTCATTACAGTGAAAACTAAACCACTCAAATTCATGTGGGACTCTTCATTATGCTCTCCAACTGCTGTGCAACTGCAGCAGTAATGTTATACTTTTAATAGCTCTAAAGTTTCAGTGAGTGTGTGCCCTCCTTCAGTTTAAAAGAGAACAATCCATTTTAAGTTACTTTCAGCTGTTTCAATTTTTTTCAAATGCTGCATTTGCCTACCTCAGCATTAACAAAAATACTACAGCTATCATTCAATACAACACCAGGGAACAGCAGGGACAGCTGAATAAATCTGAAAAGCAGCAATTGGCAATAATGGGGCAGGGGAGGAAATACATGTTAAAAAATGCAGTTTTAAAAAACTAGAAATGAAACAATGCACCATTTATATCTTATCATTGAAAATGAATTCTGCTAGCTGACTTAATTGTTTGAACCCAGCAATTAGAACTTTTCTCATCAGGTCTCAGAAGCTAAGCAATATTGGGCCTTGTCACTAGTGGGCTGGAGACACGTAAGGGAAATCTTCTGTTAAATGGTCTTGGTGTTGTAGATCAATAGAAGGCACTTTTCTGTCGGAAACCAGTTGTATAATGTGAAGAAGGATGAGAACACAAAATGGGCCACGTTTCAGAATTGTATGTATTGAGTGCACACAATCAGGCAAGATCTCTGTCTGTGTGCAAAGAAGCCTCCACGTTTACATCTCTCCTGGGCCCCTCTGTCTCAAAATGTCCTGTTCCAATACTGTGCATTTTGCTTGTTCTATATGCTGCACCCCAAACTGGCTTCTTTTTACACTTTTTCTCAATAATTACTGATTTACTCTATCAGATGGCAAAATGTTTCTTGGCATCCTAAGTACAGGGCACTGCTGAGGAGCAAAGAATACAGGCATAAATGAGAAGCGGCTGGTGCTGATTGTAATTATGAAAGATTATGATGCTTCATGCATAATTTAAGAGTATGCAGAAGAGAGGAGGTCATTCTGCCTGTAAATAAATGTCTAAGTCTTTTTCGAAGGTCGTCTCTTCAGGTTCAGAGCTCCTTGTTTGTCATCTAGCAGCTGGTTGCCCAGGTTTACATTATAAGCTTTTTTAAATCTTGCAGTGCCTTTGAGAAAATGCAAAGAACACCACTGGTATCGATTTGCTACAAGTCTCCTTTGCAGTTGGTACAGTGTTGGCTAATCCTTCTATTTTAGTTTCTCATACAAACCAGACTAGTTTGCTACCTATGCCACAATCTAGATCACTGCTATAAATTGGGAAGAGCAATGGTCCAAATACAGATCCTTGTGGTACTCTTCCGAGTTGGCACATTCACCCCTACATTCAAATCGACAATTTTTCTACCCATTAACCCTTTATCAAGGTAAATGAAAACACTTCTTTCAGTGCCTACCACCTGCAATGTGGCAATTGATTTTTACATGGAACTTTATCAAAAGTCTGGTGAAAAATCTAAATAAACTGTATTCCCTGCATACCTCCTCTACAGATTTTTTAACCCCCCCACCCTCTGCTTTCTTGTTTTTTCTGCAAATCTCATGCTAGATGGTATCCATATCATTCGGCTGTAATCCATCATGCCCATACAGGTGTCCATGGATATGGGAAGGTTTGCACTCACTGAGAAAGCTGAAGCCTTCTTCAGCACTCCACATTCCCTGCTATGTGTTGGGTTTATGGATCAGCTTTTCCATTTTTTCACCTTTCTGTTGCTGCTAGGGTTCCCGAGAACACCATTGATTTAGTCCTGCTCTCCAGAATTTTTCAAGGCCTTTGAATTTGTTTCATACGGAATGAAAAGAGCATTGTTTGGTGCCGATACCATCTGTCCTCAAAAAAAGGTTGTCTTCACTTGTTAGGTGTCGGTCTATCTTTTGGGCAGTTAGCCAAATAATCATTTTTCATATTACCTGATCACATAAAACAAAAGTAATGCATTTTAAAGCTACACGACTGATCAACAGATGCTACGTTTTTGAATGGATTGAGCCTGGAGACTAACAGGTTTTTCCATGACAAACGTACAAAGGTTTAGAAAAAACACCTGACCTTCCAACAGGAGACAACTGTAAATATTTTTAAAATATATTTAAACACTTATGTTAGAAATAGAAATCTCTTAGAAATGTATAACTGTTAACTGAGTGTACCTACAAAATTCAGGCCTGCTTGGCAGCAGAGCAAGCCTTCAACACTGGGAAATGCATGAAATACAGGGATTGAGCTAATAATAATTCTCCTTCCTCTTCACCCTTCAGTAACCTTTACACCCAACAAAATTAGAAGTGAAGCACACAAAACTCTAATACACTCAGGAACCTGAGAAATGCTTACTCACTAACCACAGATTAAATTTCCTCACATACATTTCCCCGATATTGTAAATGATTAAAAAGATTTTTTAGTGCCGGTGAAATTTGTAAGGAAGATTATGCTACACCCTGTCATTCCTTTGACGTATAGCTCCAAAAGAGGGGGGGACATTTCATTTTTCACAGAGATTCGTTCACAGAACACAGTGAGGGATGGAGTGGCTGTCTGTTCTCTCAAAAGATGATGAAAAACTTTCCCGGTGTCTTGGTTTAGAAAGGTCCTGCCTTGTGGATGGCAGAGAGTGCTCTGGGTAGGAGGAAGTGTTCAGAAGTGTCTGTCCATTAAACCTGGATCTAAGGCACTGTAAAGATCAAAAAGAAGAGAGCAGCAGGCAGGTCTTCTAACTCTCCAGTAAATACTTCCACTTCAGAGACTCACATCAGACATGAAATAGCAAATTAAGTGTAAACTATCCCTGTCTGTGAAGAGCCAATCTATTGAATCTTTCTTCTGCGCAGTACATTCTGTTTGCTACAGTACTATTTTTCCTGTCTTGTGTTTTCAGCATAACTGCTCAAGACGTGTATGGCATGGGCATTATAATTATATAATAAGTATTCTATAGTTATTTATGAATGTTATTAATGTACAGGTTGCATAATTACATGGTAGTAAATTTGCAAGGTTTTCAGGAATCTAAAAATATGGCATTTCCCTTATTCATTGCAAAGTTTTTTTTTTACTTGCTGGTTTGTTTATGATGTTTCATACTGTAGTTCATTGTAAAACAGATGTAAAAATGTAAAATTGCAAATGGCAGCAAAATATAAACCTGTTTACCTGTGCTTTAGGAGTTTAAAAAAAATAAATCACTGGTTAAGGACAGAATTAGACAAAGATAACACTTGTGAGAAAAAGCAAACTGAGGCAGATTTTTTACAGCAGATCAATTTGTTAGAACAATAGAATGCAAGCAAGGGCCCACATAATTTTTATCGTTAGATTCTCCAGTGAATATGAACAGAAGTGATTGTTAGGCACAATAAAGTGTGGTTTTCAACAGTTCTGCCTATGGAGGCTGCCAAGCAAGTCATCTGCTGTATTACTCTTGGCACAGTTGTGAATTTTTACATTTTTAGAGGCAACAGCAGGGTGGTATGGGGGTACACCTCGCAACACTGGGCCCTGGGTTCAATTCCTGGGTGCTATCTGCATGGAGTTTGTATGTTCTCCCCATACTTGCGTGGGTCTCCTCCAAGATCTCCGGAGATATGCTGGTAGGTTAACTGGCTTCTGGGGAAAATTGGTGCGAGTCTGTGTGCCCTGCGATGGACTGATGTCCCATCCAGGATGTGTCTCGCCGCCTTGCCCTCCTTGCTTCCTGGCTGCTCCGTGCCCCGATACTGGATGAGCAGATCAGTAAACGGATGGATGAAAGCTGAGATGGAAGGAAGCTTCTCCTGCCTGGTTCTTCAAGCACAGTGCTCAGATATCACCTCCTCTGGCACATGTGTCGACCTGCCTGCCACTTCCAGTGAAGGTGATTCACACTGTGTGCAAGAGGATAATATGGAGACCACAAGGAATGCACAGATGAAACAATTTGTGCAATTTCACAGGACAGGGCCCAATGGTAAAATAAACATGGAAATAATATAACACACAACAAATGCATATCGCTGCTCGGAAATGAATGAAGAGGCACACATTAGTATTTTGTAATTACTGTTTGGATCAAGCAAAGAATCTCCAAAAGAACATGTAGCCTTATATAGGGCTTTTATCCAGAAGAAATAATCCAGTCTGCATTATTTTCCAGATCCTTAATGCAGAAACAGCAGATTTTAATCATGTTCCCTTGTAAGAGCAGAATGTATAATTTGTAAAATTATCTCGGCAGACTGATGCATTTGTTTACTTAAGCTAGGGATGCCATAAAATGTGATAAGATTGAATTGAATGGATTATCTTTTCTGTGTTAACTCTCTTTTTGTAATCCTTTTTCTATTTGAACCACAATGAAAACAGATCATGAATACTTCTGTAGTCCAAAGGGGAGGCTGAGGCATAAGCAGAAAGCACGTAAGGTGCAAATACCGGATTAAAGCTGCAGGAAGAGAAGGAAAATAAATACATCCATCCATTCTCGCATTCGAGCTCTTGTGTGCGTTTGGGATCTGGAGACTGGAAAAACAGTACTGTGAGTTAAGATTAAAGTTAAAGGCATTCTATGTGCAGGCTTACCGGCAAGCAGTAAAAATATTTCCATCTTCATCAAATATGTAAGATCTCTGTCAGCACATGGTGAGGCACCCACCTGCTCCCACTTCAGATGGATCAGCTGCCTGTCTGTGGAGGAAGTTGGTGCTCTAAGCTTTGGGCCCGAGGCTGACTCTTGGAGCTGTTCCAGTAGGAGGGAGAAGGGGGTTTTGTGATGGATGTCTTAAGATGTAGAAAAGAGGAGATAAGAAAACAGGCCCATAGATGAGACCATCCATAAACCGTGGCATTTGAACCATTTAGGGCACTACCCGGCCATAGTCAGACAGAGTGCATCTTTTTGTCATCATGTGAGAAAGAGTTGCCGTAGTTTGCAAAATCTTAATGGATCAAGTGAGGCCTCAGAGAAGTGATTGATCACAAGTGGGTAGGCGAAGATCAGAAGTATGCTTTCTCTGTCTCTCAGGCAGGCAGTGGAACTTGTCTGCTTTGTGCAAGTAGCCTCCACTCTATAAGTTTAAAACATGAAGAGCTGTCTCCTGTTCAGTTCAGGCTTCATTCACTGCTGAGGACTTCAGTCCCAGGCTTTTAAAAGCTGAGACTCTGTGGAATCCTGGATGTGCAGAGATGCCCTTGTAAAAACAGAAAAAGGAAAGTGAAATGCTTTATCCTCCTCTGTGTTTCTGCTATCTCCAAAGCAGCAATCACCGCAAGGTGGGATGAGCAATATCGATAATGTGCAAGGTTAAGATGGGGGTAAACACCGTTTCATATTCACCCAATTTCCACTGCCATCCACGACAGTTAGAGGAAGCACAGTGATGTACCTTTGGTGATAACAAATAATTATTCTGAAAATAAAACGGGGAAGGCCATAAATTATATAAGAAACAGACTGATAACAGCCTTTCCAATTAAAGGCACTGGCTTGCCTGTGCTCAGCAGTAACCATAGTGTCTCTGGTTAGAATAGTACATTTTGTTCCTGGTCATAGAGCCTTTGGAAAAGTACAAATTAATGGCACAACATGAGTGGAATGACATAAGGGTACTAGTGATGTCCAGCATACACTGACAGTTTATATAGGTTTGAAGGCATAGAAAAAAATGGTCATTTTTATGTAATTTGAGATCATACGTTTTCTAAGTGTAATTATGATAGGACATTTCTAAACCATCATTTTACAGTATAATATCAGTTCACCTCTGCCAAACTCAATCGAAAAAAAACAATTATAGAAATGTGCTGAAAAACTGTCACTTGTGTGACCTGTCCTGTTCCTCTGTGAGAACCACAAAGATGATTTCAGGGATACCTGCTATTATGTCAATAAGATGACCCGTGCAATTAGTCGTAAAAATTGCAATACCAAATCAAATTTAAAATACCGTTAGGGGTCCAAATTGGTGGATCCAATTCATCTTCTCATAGCTAGAGGTGTGCTGTTCAAAGACGACTGCTTCAGATATCTAATTGGCCTTCTGTGATCCATACGAGGCAGGTACGCCGGCTGCACCCTGCTAGAACAGAGTGGATTTGAACCTCCCCAGGTTGCCCTTGACTTGCCTTGCAGCAGCCTGTATGGTTTCCGTGAGTAGGTGTAACACATACACATACTGCAGCAGACTCCCAGGAGTGCTCCATCCATCCCCTCTACGACCGTGACAAGGGCTTGGCTTTTTACTGCACTCACTTTGGCGCCTGTCTGAGCTGTGATGATGGAACCCTGGGAGGCTAGGATTAGGGATTAAGACAACATCTTGAATCCAGGGTGATAACCCACATGCAAGCAGCAGTGTAACCTGCATCAGCCTTCCATCTAATTGTAACGCTTACGGCCGACAGGTACTGTGTAAGAGCCAGCTTACCAGAGCAGGTGACGTCACCGCCCTTCCCTGTGATAGCAGGACTACAGCTACTGGGCTGTAGAGAGATCTCTCTTTAGCTCACCGGGCTGGTCCCTGTTGAGTGAAGCGGGAGTCCTGGGTTCAAGCCCCAGACGGTTTGGGGCCGACCTAATGCGGCAAGGGCGCCCGCCTGAACCCCCGTTGCGTTACATAATGCCTTAGCTGAGCCGTTGGCACCGGGGAGCCCACTATATCAGAAACAGTGGCTGTTGTAGAGACTGAGTATACTGTATGTAACAGTATCTACATCCCTTCTCCGTCGGTACAGAGCTGTAGTAGTAAGCCCATCTGTTAATGAAGGAGTGTTTCTAAATTAAAAAAAAAACACCAAGACAATTTAAGATTTGTTTTCACCCTTCCTCTGCAGTAAATAAGATTCAATCAGAGTGCCAGAATTTGTGTTCTCAGTTAAATGTATACAATTGTGCAATCATTATCATTTTTTCTCAGATATAAAGTGCTTTGTTGTTTTAATGTTAATGTACACTTGGTGCAGATATTTGTTCTTATTTGAAAACCGTGTCTTTGTAAGAGTATATAAAGTAAAGAAAGTGCCTGGCACTGTGCTGATTTAATTAACCTATTTGTCACCCAGGCAGCAGAGATTTCCCTTCAATTGAGTGTTTTTTTAAGACTTCATGAAACATTAATGTAAGCAGTGGCCAACAATGGATTTAAAAAATATATATTTTCTCTTTTATCTGCTTTCTGCGAGAAGAACAATGATCTACACTCCTTAAATCAGAAGCACTGTGGGTTTATACTGTACATTAAACATTTAAGCAGTCACTTGTTTAAATGAAAATTTGGAATTGCTCTTTATCTGTTCTTGGTTGACTTTTAATTAGACTAGCAACTTACAGATGAACTGCTGTCAGTATTTTAAAAATATATTTCAATTTCCTTGCGTGCTCGATTAATTACAGGCATTTTAATGAGAAGAATTCAGAGCAGTGTAGTCATCCTTACAAGTTCGTTTGATTTGTTTTAATCCATCCATGGAAAATCCATTTTCTAACCTCTCTATCCATTGCAGGGCCATGAGTGAGCCAGTGCCTACCCCAGAAAGCCATGGGTGCAAGGAAGGACACACCTTTGATGGGATACCAGGCAGAGGACACGCACAGACACCAGACCCTCTTTCCAGAAACCAACCTGCATACCAGTATGTTTTAGACTGAGGAAACCAAAGCATCCAGACGAAACCCACATGCTGTAGGTAGCACCCCAGGAATTGAAGCTGGGGCCCCAGCACTTCTGAGCACTGTGCCACTGTAATTAAAGTTTACTGTAATTATTCTTTCTACATCCAAAGCTACATAAGCACCATCATAAGCTGTCTGTTGACTTCTTGAAGATGTAATAGTGTAATAGAAACGGAATGGAAAGTTATGCAAAAAGCAGACACACACAAGTGGCTTTGGCCTCAATTTGAAGGAGATGTGCAGACCAAGGAAACTACAAAGAAATCCGAATAAGAAAGAAGGTGTGTACTTGTAACCTTCTTTCCTTACCTTCCTGCAGAAGCAAATGAGGATTTCACCTCATGCTTCTTCAGCATTTACAAAACTGCATGGAATAGTGGAATTACATACATTTAGTAATTCTATAACATTTATAGCATCCTTGTTGAAGTACACCAAGTTAATGCACAGTATCAACATTTCAAGTTTTGTTAACAGACCAATCGTGATCAAAGGTTTCTCTTTTCTTAGCAACCTGTGTTGGGGGTCTTAGTCTGCCTAATGTATAGGGAGTAGGGATGACCGAATTCTCTGGGGGAGCCCATTACTGCTTGCTCTGAACACCCAAAAAAGCTTAGAAGGGCAAATTCTGAGTTTTAGATTTCTCTTTCATTAACTTGTTAGCAGCTGACATTTGCCCTCCCTCGTGATAGCTTTATTAAGCTGTTTGGTTTGTTATCTTGAGCCCAGAGTCGACATGGTGATTCCTCGCTATATTAGATAATATCTGAAATGTAATGTAATTTCCTTAAAAATCACAACAGCTCGGAGAAACACCCTGATGAATGTCCAGTTGCATAATTAAGACTACAGCATTCATTTTGTTAATATTCTTTCAAACTGGAAACTCAAGACAGAGGAGTCAATAAGGGAACCTCACAGAAAGGGGGTCAAAGTTATTACCGTACAGCAGACTAATTAATGGTAATATTAGGAGCAGTCTAGCTTTTTTACTGCCTCCATACAAAGATCTTCGCCTTCCCGTCAGATCAAGCACAACACATTTCTAAATTTGTTTATGGTAAACAGTGTACTGCACAGTATCACCTAATCATGGTACAAGTCAATACTCATAATGTTGATATCTCCAGTAATCCAGGCCATGCAGTTTACAGTTAGAAAATAGCTGCCTTCTAATAATATTATAGTGGAGCTGCTTAATGTGACTGACTGGGACCTATGTCATCCAAACCATTAGAATCTATGCACGTGTAAAGAGGGTCCTCTTATACTTGGAATCTCAAAATAATCTGCCTCACACACGGCAGATTACTGAAGAATTGAAACTTGTTCACTTGAAGAATTATTTTTATTTTTTGAAGAATGTACTCGGTTTAACTGGCGTATTGATTGTATTGCTACACCTGACACAGTAAAAATGTTACTGCAGTAGTGTTTGAAAGGCAAACCTGCTTTAAGAAGGGGAAGTGAAATTGAGCATTACAGAAAATAGACCGAAGCCTATGTAATAATGTAACTGCTAGTAAAATGTGATTATTCTTTGCATAATTTGGGTATTTGTCATTTATTTACATTTACAAACGTATTTTAATATTGATGACTTTAACAGTACTTGTTCAAGAGAAGAGAGTTCACAAGGAATTTTTTCTTTTCGTACAAAGTGATTCAATGTTACCATCTAGTGACCACAAGTAGAATTACGTTTTAAGTGTAATTATGAGATTTCGTGAGCTTTCCGTCAGATGTTCTTAATAATTTAGTGGCTTTTGTGGAAGGCGTTGACACGCAGGCAGAAATAACTATTCTGTTACTGGAATCGGATCTACTTTAATTGCACTGGAGGTTTCGTTTTGTTTTTTAAGTATGTATTTAAATAAGTTTTTTAGAAACCGATAAGTTATTTGACATTGGCACTTCTTCCATTCCACCAATTTGCAAAGGTCTTATACGGTACTAACACGTACTTCATCGTAGTGAGGAAAACATCTGGAAATTGCAACAGCAAAAAGTACTGCAGCCACAAATTGCTGGCATTTGCAGTTTTCCGTTGCTTGCATTTTCCATATAGCCTCTCGAAACATTAAATAATGTGTTCTTAAATGCAGAGCACTGATGCAAATGAAATGTTATGTAACTTGGTTCTTTTGTTAATAATTCCGTCAAGGTACAGGCAATTTATTTCAGAATAAATCAAGCGCTTGCTTCCGAAAAATCACATTGGCTCGGCGGTCGTCGTCAGAGCGCATGCGTGCTTTACCTTGACGCCAGTCATTCTTTCAAATAGAAGCACAAGGAGGTTTTTCTGTTTAAATCCAATAAACTATATCTTGTTTTTAAATGGCTTTAAATCCTGCAACACATCGCTGCGTTATGAGTTGATTATTGTAAGTATAGTGATTTTTTTAAAATTAATTATTCAGGGTCTACTGAATTTGACTCACTAGAGATTTCGAGTGGGATGCGCTATTTCACAAATGAGTGTACCGAATTCTGTAAGTAGGTGATATGTAATTTAATTTGTTGAATTCAGTCTATAATGAATACATTCAGTTTCATAATAATCTTTTTTTTAAATAACTAAAAGTCGCTTCCATCGGAAAGCAGCTGTCCTTCAAACCTAGCTAGTAACGAATGCTTATACAGATAGCATTTTTCGTTTCTTACTTGTCTTGTATTAACTTAATTATGTAATGCAGCAAACGAGAACATTGTTACTTATAAGGGTATCACATATAGAGCAGCTGTCAGTCCTTAGTAAGATGTGCCGTTAATTATTTTGAAGGTGCGGGTTAACAGGTAGCATAACTCCTTACTGCTCATCGGAAGGGCATTCATACTGATCAAATGCTGTTGCTGCACTATTGCATTACTTATTTTTCTTAATTGCAAAAATTATACCAATTTTACTTGATAAACAGCGTAAAACAAATCCTGAACAGCTGCTTGTCGCAGTGTCTTCCGTATCTTTTTTATACGTGTGTGTATGTCCAGTAAACCATTGAGTCTGGCGCGCGTCTTTAAAGAAGCACCTGACTCTTTAAGAATAATTCTTGAAAAGAGTAATCATAACCTGTTTTAGGATACAGATATGGTCATTAGTCATAAGTATTAGTTTGTTATTTTACCGATATTCAACAGATTTCTAACTGACGATTGGTTGCATCTGATGGTTGTTAACATTATGTCTGTCACGCCTGCCATGTTTATAGATGTTAATAGCACCACTCCTACTAATAGAAATATCTTCCACCTTCATGGTTGCAGGTTTTCTCGATAGGCTTGAGTTACATTTCCCGTGTCCTGCGATGGACTGGTGTCCCATCCAGGGTGTACTCTGCCTTGTGCCCGTTGCTTGCTGGGATAGGCTCCACCCCCCCCCCGTGACCCTGAGTTAGATCAAGCAGAATGGATGGGTGCATCTAGGTATAGACAATTAGTTTTTATTTATTTTATCCTTGTCCTATTTTATCCATAAAGTGAGGTCTACAATCAGTACATGATGATAATAATTATAATAATTGCTTACACTTATATAGTGCTTTTCCGGACACTCCACTCAAAGCGCTTTACAGGTGATGCGACGGCAGCCATAGTGCACCAGAGCGCTCCCCACACACCAGCTCTCAGTGGGGAGGAGAGCAGAGTAATGAAGCCAATTCATAGATGGGGATTATTAGGAGGCCATGATTGGTAAGGGCCAATGGGAAATGTGGCCAGGACGCCGGGGTTACACCCCTACTCTTTTCGAGAAATGCCCTGGGATTTTTAATGACCACAGAGAGTCAGGACTGCGGTTTTACGTCTCATCCGAAGGACGGCGCCTTTTTACAGTATAGTGTCCCCGTCACTATAATGGGGCATTAGGACCCACATGGACCGCAGGGTGAGCGCCCCCTGCTGGCCCCACTAACACCTCTTCCAGCAGCAACCTAGTTTTTCCCAGGAGGTCTCCCATCCAGGTACTGACCAGGCTCACACCTGCTGAGCTTCAGTGGGGCTGCCAGTTGTGAGATGCAGAGTGATATGGCTGCTGGCGTGATACCACTAATATAATCCTGGGTGTTTCGTTTCTGGACATCTACGAAGGCTTCACTAATGTATGGAAAGATATTATGGGGATCCGCCCCAGAATTTGTAAGGTTCTGGTGTACCCAGGAGTGTTGTGTGTGTTTCAGATGTCCAGGGCCAGAAGACACCTAGCCGCTCAGAGCTGCCATGAGGCGCCGGCTTTCTCACAAGGACTCCCGGGCCCTGCCCTCTTGTGACAGCAGCCCGGATTCCTCCCCCTGTGGCCGAGGAGCTCACCCCTGCTGCTTCTGCTGGTGCTGCTGCTGCAGCTGTTCCTGGTGAGACGCCGGAGCTCTGGGCTTTCTGTCACACGAGGGTGGTGGGGTAATAACAGGTCTTGCGCTGGCCAACCCAGGCGGAGCAGACCATGCCACGTGACCCTGTAAGATAAGCCAGGTTCCCAAGCCATTCCAGACCCTCCTTGAGTCAAACTGAGTGTCGACTGAGCCTCCGTTGGGAAGAGCTCATCTAGGCAAATGGCTGAAACGATAAAGTTGAGTTCATCCACCTAAACCACTGTAGATTCCATGGTGTGATCTCTAATGTCCTCTTTTACAGCACAGCTGGGTAATTATGACACCAGGAAACTCCCTCAGTTGTTCTGTTCCCCCTCATAAGGTTGAAGAGAATTCTAAAGCTTTGGCCTGGCTCTAGAATTGTACATTTTAATGCATGATCCATTCACGATACTCGACTGAAAGCATAGTATTCCACCTATAAGCAATGGTGCTTGGGTGCAATGGTAAAAAGCAATGGTGCTGGGGTAAATGAACACTGGGAAAAGGGTATTTATACCTGGAAGTGGCAGAAGGTTGACTCTGCAATCTCAGCCTTCATTGTAAATAGAATGTCTTTGATCATATGGAAGGAAATGGGTCTATTTACAGATAATTACAATGTTTGCGACAGGTTTCCTTGAAGCTTTTTTCTCCTAATGTGATCTTGCAGGCTCTTACCATTTCAACCTCTTTGCAGTGAAATGGCCAAACATCAGGGTGGTTCTTATTATTACATATAATAATGTCCTCAAGTGGCTGATGTAAGGTCCAGTTTTTGTATCTGTTACCTTCACTGCACTTGACCTTTGCTTTAATCCTGCTTTCTGCCTTTCCCCTAATTAGGCACTAAATAGCCAAGCTGTTTGAAGAATGAATATTACATAGAGTTTCCATTTACTAAGTGGAAACTGCGCTCTAGTACACAGGCTGTCAGTGGACCCCAGTGATCGTCTGTGAAGGCCTGATATACAATCAGTTTCTCTGTCTGACAGCCTGACGGTGAGAAACAAAGACAAGGACATGTGCAGCAGCAGGAGAGCTTCCAATGTGTCAACGCTGGGGAGCCTGCAGAAGACCGAAGAGAGGTGCAGACCCACCCACAGTTAAAGTGCTGTGTCATTAACATGTGAAGCTGTAACAGGGCAGCTCTGTTTCTACAAGAACATGAGATGTCTTTAGAAAAGTGTCTTCCTTGGTGCTTAAGAGATACCAGTGTTAAACTCCATATCTTTTCCTGTGTTTTCCAATGGAGCTGTTTGCTTAGTTATTGCTGCATTCTTTTTGACAGTGTCAAGCGGTTTTACAGAATCACACTGCATATTAGAGTGCAGATATTGCTAAGCTCGTTGGCACCTTTTTGAACAGACAGGCATTGGTGAGGAGGGGTTAGAAACACCCCACATATGAAGATGAGATTTGGGTTTCTAAATAGCGACATGTTCAAAGTTAGAATCTTTCCTTTTTAAAGATCAGTTCTAATGGTCCTTGACTGGGTGCACACTTGTCAGGGGTTATCTTTTTAGAGGGAAAAATATAAATTCTAGGCTTCTGTTGCAGCTCTTTGCATGTGGACCCTTTATGTTTATTTGAGTCTTGTTATTCACTATCTTGGAGACAGGTAGCACAGAGTCCTGTTATGTAACTTTCTGTTTTCCACATTGATAAAAAAGAGCCTTTTCAGAGCCTTTACGGATGTACCCATCCAACAGGTGGAACTGCTCAGACATTGGTGACTTTCAGAATAATCGCAGCGTCATTAGTTTTTTTGTTTCTTCGTTCTGAGGAAAAGTCAGTGTCAATAGCCTTGTAAAGAATAGTTTCTAAAAGTCATATTTGTAGTCTAACTTAGACTAGGTAGGTATCTGCGTCAGCATGCGTAGGCTGCAAAGGAACAAGTAATAGGTTTATTCCATGCTGAAAAAAGAAGAAAGAGGACACAACGTTTCGGCCGTGGAGCCTTCTTCAGGTGTCACACCTTCTTCTTATTTTCAGCGTGGAATAAACCTATTACTTGTTCCTAATTAGACTAGTTTAATGTTAGAGATCACTAGGACCCCATCCATGTCAAGGGAGAAGCCTATCCAAGGCACCCACAGGGTTCGACTATAAATTGAACCAGACTTTGCCAGATGTTTCCAGCTTGCAGAACCGGAAGAAGCCTGTTCCTCTGCTGTGAGTCCGCGTGTTTGTTCTCAGCGGAAGAGTGAGCCTGACGGAGGTGTCCTCCTGGGCCGTGTCCTTCAACACCCTCCTGGAGAGCCCCGCCGGCCGCGCCGTCTTCATGGAGTTCCTCCGCTCGGAGCACAGCGACGAGAACATGCTGTTCTGGCAGGCCTGCGAGGAGCTCAAGACGGTGACCCACAAGGCCACCATCGCCGAGAGGGTCAAGCAGATCTACCTGGACTACATCTCCATCCTGTCTCCCAAAGAGGTGAGCCAGAGCGGGTGCCGGACCCGGAGCTGACCAACTGCTCAACACCATGCTCTCACGCGTATCCTGTGATACTCAACACCCTGACACTTCAGCAGCGCTTCCGAAAAGGACGTGATTTAACGTTACGGGCCACGTTTGAAAGAATGTTAACTGCTACGTTGGTACTGAAGCTTCAATGCGTGCTTGCTTTCAGTAGGATTTGCCTTAGATTTGACGATTTCGTTTTTTTCTCGTGAAAAAAGAAAATGGCGGCTCCGTACTTTATTTACTTCACTGCTGTCTTGCAAGGGGGTTGTGATTTGTATCGACTAGATTTTGGGTAATGGTTTTTGAAGGAACAAGTAAAGGTTTATTCCATGCAGAAAAGAGAAGAAAAGAAACACAACATTTCGGCTGTGGATCCTTCTTCGGGTGTGAAAAAGAAGGCTCCACAGCTGAAATGTTGTGTTTCTTTTCTTTTCAGCATGCAATAAACCTTTACTTGTTCCTTTGCAGCCTACACATGCTGAAGCAGCTACCTACAGTACTTTAATGCTTTTTAAATGCAGCTTTCAACTATCAAGACCCTTCTGTTATAAACAGTTATTGCAATATTATCATAATTTAAACTGCAGAAATATATAACTTATGATTTTTTCATTAAGACCTCTTTTATAAACTTGAGTTTTCAATGTGGGTATAGCCTGCCGGTCTGTGATTATGGTTTATGAACCAAAATGAGAGATTTTGGGTAGTATATTTTTAATAAAATATGTCAGACGGTAAGAAAACTCCCCTTTTCTATTCAAAAGGCCTGATGTGCTGTTTGTATTATTTTTTTCTCTGATTTTCTTTCTAACAGGGAGCGCCAGTCAAGACGTTCTAGGAAAATGTCAATACCTATAGTATTTGTGCATCAGTACTGTTTAGCTGATGTTTTTATTCAAGTATACACACATTCGATGAATTTAAAAATATTACCCGCGAAAAAATGAATTACGCCATCTTAAACAATTAGTATTTTAATAACTTTACTGAAAGGGGATCTGCAGTCCCAGTTTCTTAGACTGCTTATTAAAATCTCAGTAACAAAATTAATCAACTGATGTTATAGAAAAATGTTACCAATTTCCAATTAAGCACAAAACTTTGTGGAAGTACAGTAAGTCGCCATATTATTGCAAACGCAAATTGCAACGTGAAGCGGCTCTTCCTGCTCTCTAGTCACCGTAATGACTAATGTAATGAGATCTGTGTGTGAATAAGTAAGGGTTGTGCAGCAGACATTTCATCGCAGACATGTTCCAGTGTGATCTGCATGCAATGTATTCACAGGCCATGTTGTTGCCTCATTCTGAATCGCAGAACATGGCACGGTGTATACCTAGAAATTTTGTCTATTTTGTGATAGAAATTGGAGGTCATACCAAGCTTCTATTGTGGTGCTGATTCTTTCTAACCCCCAAACTTAAAAATAGCATTGCAGTTCCCCTTTAACATGATGACTACAATAAGAGTATGGCCCAGAAGTGACTAAAATACTACATTTTGGCCTAGCTTCATTCAAAGTTTCCTACTGGAAGAGGCAGGGTTACCCACACATGGTCCATAGTAACTGAAATAGCCTCTCTGTGATATCTCTTCCACACTCCCATATGTTCTTGTGATTGTCGTGTATTGTTACAGGTCAGCATTGATGCCACTGTCCGCGAGACCATCAACAGGAACATGTCGGCACCCACAGCCTATGTTTTCAACGATGCCCAAGCACAGATCTATGCACTGATGCACAGAGACTCTTACCCCAGGTTCCTCAACTCTCCCCTCTACCAGTCTCTCCTCCGGAGCCTGGGACCTGCTCACCCTGTGGCTGAGTGCTAGGAGGCAGCAGATGACACCCTCCACCTTCCACAGTTCCTCCTCAGCTGCTGGGATTCCACTCCTATATGGCGCTGATGATCTCTGGTGCTCAGATTTTGTGACACACAGTTTGTCATGAATTACACCTCAGAATTTTCTCTGCTCGAGCTGTACTTGAGTTTTTTTTTTCCAGTGGGGGGTCCTCTGGGTTTACTGGGGGCAAGAAATACTGACAGTGTTGTACCAGTAAGTTGTGTACCCACAGAAAACAGGAGGGCAAAGATATGACGTCCAAAATTCTGGTCCAAATCGTAAAGCCATCACAATGCCTTACACAGATGGAAAGATGCGTCTGTTGACAGGACATGTAGTATTGTATTGAAAGCTTTAGGTTTGGATAAAGAGGCTGTACTGAATTAATCTTTTAAACATGGCTTTGCACCATAGGCTGATTTACTTATACAGTGCCAGGTTGGTGTGGTGGCACACTTGGGTTAATGATATAGGGACTGCAACAAAAGATGGATATTCTGATACTGTCTTTTTCTAACAAAATTCATCGGAAGATGCTAAGACTTTCATTTACTATTGTGTGTCGAAAAGACCTGATGCCTTACGTTTGCATTGCTGGGTGGTCCTTAGTGATCATGCGTCTTTCATCCATAGATTTGACTTATATTGATTGACGTGGCGTTGTTTACATAAGGTTACTGTGTCAAAAGAGAGACTGTAAAATGAGACACAGATTTGTCATTTCTTTTAGTTACCAATGACACTTTTCTGGAACCCTCTTCACCTCTACTGTGTCCACTGTGTCCACTACTGTGTCTGTGCCCTGAGAGTAATGCTGTCGCTTGGTATCTGCATTGGCCTTTCATTCAAGCTTGTGTGCGCTTCTCTTTCTTTCCGAAGGAACAACTAAACTCCTCTTTGAAAAGAAACTCCATCTCCGGCAGGACTGAATTTCAGTGTACAGTCACTTTAGCACTCTTCAGGCAGAGCACTCATTTTTGAGAGGAAAAAAGTTAATGCGCTTGATTTGATCATTCTTTCTGTGGAAGTGGGGGGGATTGTGAACATTACCAAGGGAAAAATCGTTTCCTTGTTTCCTTTTGTTTTAAAGACGTCCTCGTTGAGGAGGAGCTTGGCATATTTCCTGAAAGGAGTGAGCCGTGAAATCCAAGGTACTGCCACACATTAATTCCTATGAAAACAGAAAGGCTTTGAATGGCTTGTTTGGTGACAGTCTTTGTCACAGTGAAATAAAATCTTTCAAACCTCCTTCTTCTGCCGGCACTTTTCTGCTGTGATTTCCAGCTCACATTCTACATTTTATTTCTGCTCCCACTGAATAGATTTCCTCAATTAGTTGAAATCTGAATAGATTAAATATTTTATTTTACTGGGCATCCTTGTATGATGTGCACCATCTCAAAGCAATTACAATAACCCAACACGTTTTGTTCTTTAGGTCTTTCTTGATTTGGCAGCCGATGTTTGTTCTGCAGATTGACATAGCTAGGACCCAAGATGGTTTAGGATCCTCCAAAATACGCTTAAATGGCCGTTTGAGGAGAAACCTTTCATATTCTCACTCAGCGGTCAATCCTTTGTCAAATCATTACACTCTGACAGATTCTGAAAAGAATGATGTATCATGGAGGCTTCCTGGAATGCCTTCTAGAGAAATGACACAGAGGACAAAATACAGAATAAATTTATTCTTTCACTAGGTAAGAGACCTTCTTTCAAACAGCACAGTCTCCAATACAGAAGCCCTTCACATGGCACAGCTCACTAATGGCATAGACACTGGATTATTCACAGGTAGGAAATACTTCTAAAGACAAAAGTAACTTCTGATAAAGCAACACCAAAAGAATTTTGTTCACTTAGAAGCTCTTTTTCTGTGGCTTTGCTTGGTATTTTTTTGATCGTCCCTTTTGAGCCTTTGTACTGTAGAATTAGTATTTAATTGTGTTGTGGAGTGTATGGTATAATTGCCACAATATATTATCTCAGCTATGCAGCCCTGTATCAGTCACCAGGCTGCCTCCGGGTCTGTTCGAGTATGATAAGAATTGACTTTGTAACAACAACAGTAATTGATTTGCTCCTAAGAAGCTGTCAAGAGATGGAATGATCGATTTAAAAGAACAGGAGGAAAACCACCTGAGACGGAAACAGACCACCCTGTCATGTACTATGAGGCTGTACTGTATAAAAAATGTTAGAAGATGTAGCAGTTTGTTCTCGGGGACAGACCCAATTTGTGTATTGGGTTTAACAAAGCTTAATCTGTGCAAGGCTGTCTCCTGTTGTTCTGGTAAAGGATTGCCCACAGGTTAAAGTTCATCTTCCCTCTCCCATCTCTTCTAGACAACTACTTTAAAAGACTAGATGGTACTCTATACTACATGTTAAGAGTTAAATATTCTTTTGCTTTTGAACAGATATTTTTGGAATCATTTTCAGTTTAGATTTGTTTTAATTTAGGGACAGGATACAGTAGTTCTCTTTGCAGCTCTGGTAAGTGGTGCCTATTGTACAGCTATAACATGTCATTGCCCTAGAAACCCGAATCATCAGACCAGCCTACAATATTTTCAACACATTTTCTCGCCCCACTGTGTTAGCTGTGTGTTTTTCACTCTTCCTCCAAATTCTCAGCCTCCATTCATATCAGTGGCTTTGGGAAAAGCAAAAATAAGACAGGGACTCTGTATAGAGATTCTGTGCTCATCCTGTGTTGAGTTTGTGGTACAGAGACTCTTTTTAATGCTGTTTATTTTATTATATACAATTGTGTGTTAAAAAAAATACAACAGCACACATAGCATACATTAGAAACACCTTAACATTGAACTGGACAACAAGCATGGCCCTTCTCTGCAAGATATAACTACATTCAGGGAGAGCAGCAGTGATGAAATATTTCATATTTGTATTTTTCTTATTTATTATATGAAAAATTTAGATGACTCATACAGGTGATATTAACAATCAGAGTAGTTCATGATGGAATTCAGACCTTGGACGATTATGGAGATTGATTTTACTAACAGCATGCATTAAAGCAATAGGCTTAGCAACAGGCATACCGAAGAAGGCCGATAACAGTGCCCTCATAGATGCTGGAAACTGGAAATCTTTTCTAAAACATTTCAGCCACCATTGTATCGTGTAGCTGCAACTAGTAACTTTGACCTTGGACTTCTGAAACTGTTTTCAATGGTAAATTGATTTATTTAAATTTTTTTAGCGTTTTAAGTGGCTTCAAAAGACCATTTGCTTCATGAAGCACACAGTAATAGCAAGTGGGATGCAGCAGGGGTCACGTGACCCCCCTCTAGGACAGCGCGGCGCAGGGGTCACATGACCAGTGGCAGCAGCCTACACACACTTGCACCGCAGGGGTAGCAGCACGTTTTTTTTTTAGTCTCCATTCCCCAAAGCAAAGGAAAGACAGGGACCCGACAGTCACCCTGTATTAAGTTTGTGATACAGATCCTGTTTTTTAATGCTGCTTTGGCATTACTTTATTATACACAATATTGTCTTAAGAACACAACAGCACATGTAGGATGCACTGGAAACACTTTCACATGGACGAAGGGCAAGAGCATGGTGGTGTCTGCAGAATCTAACTGCACTCAGGGAGTGCAGCAGAGTGATGATAGTTTTCAAGTATTTTTCTTATATTTAGGAGATTAAAAATTTCAATGACTCATCATACAGTTGATATTCAGTAATTCACAATGGAATTCTGACCTTGAACGATAACGGAGATCAACTTTTTTCCTAACAACAGCATGCATTAAAGCAACAGGTTCAGCAGCAGGCATACTGAGTGAGGCTAAGAACACTGCTTTCACACGTGCTGAAAGCTGGAAATAAAATGTTTTTCACATTCCTGCCACCTGCAGAAGTGGCTGCAGAGGTGCCGTGACTTCTGGGATGTGTGGCAGCAGGGGTCACACAATTTCCTATTTTGTAAATAGGTATTTGTAAATTTGTATGTAAAGCTTTCTCCTGAAGGATACCTGATGCCTCTCCGGCATGTCTCTGTTTCCTATGGCTCACACCTGGACTGTAGCCATAAAAAAAACAAGAGTACCAGCCTGCCCTGTTGCATTTTCATCTCTGGACAGCAAGCCTGTCCTATAATAGTTCATTTTAACAGTTCAACACCCTGATTTTCTTTTTTTACAGAAACAAACTTCATCTCTTATTTCACTGGTGGTATTCTCCTCTGGCATGCCCCTTGACCCTATCCTGAAAACAGCCTGAGGGATAAAATTGCTTTGGCTCTCTGGTCTCTAGAAACAGCTCCGTTGCCAGTTAAGGCATGTGGGCCAATACTAACAATGACAAGAGCTCATTAATAAGCATGAACATTTCTGCTTCAGTGCCAGCCACTCTCGCAGCACTTTGGCTTACAAACAGAACATGGCAGAAGGGGGGAACCTTTACTCTGCCATTAGTGACAGTCACCTGCTCCATTTGCAAGCACCCTTCGCCAGCTGACTCACATCGTGAGGGGGGCAGATACTGAACAGGCTCTATGTCCTGTTCGATGGCAACCCAGGTTGGGCTGAGGTCAGTCTCCTGTGGGTGCTAAGTGGAGCTCTTGAGCTCCTAAAATTATCTTGTTTTTCTCATGGGGGCAACTCCAAAACACTGTTGGACAAGGGAAATCCCAAAGAAGTAGAATGTAAAAGGCTTTAAAATGGCTGTAGTAATCCTTACAGTGGGAAAATAGCATTAACGGCTTTAGATATGTGATGCAACACAGGAAAATTATGACTATTCTTCTAAGCCCCCAGAGCCTATTCAGTAATTTTGAGAAATTACTGTGCCCTGGAGCTTTTTACAGAACATTACTCCCTGAAATTAGCTACAGATTTCAGACCCTTTCAAATTACATGCAAAAAAAAATCTTTTAAAAAAATCAAATATAAATTAAAAGTACTATACAGCAGTCTAGCCATGTTAATCACTGATTGATGTTCTTTGATATGTACAAAGTGGAAATGATCTGTTGAAATCCTTGGGATTTTGCAGTCTCTGTCAGCCGTGAGGTTTCTGTTCAGCAGAACTGCAAGACAGAAAAAAAAATCAGTGACTCGGTGTGCTACCGCTAATGCTAGAGCTTTATGAAGAAACCCCCCAAAAACGTAGTCAATACCATCCGACTAGTTAACTAAAGACAGCCTTTGTTGCACATACAGTACTGCTCAAAAACAAATGTATAATGCTGAACTGAATGATGAAGTTCAACTACTGTACATATTTACCTGTTACACTGTTTTGCATAGGATCAGAATCTCTGAGGCGTCTCCTGAGTGCTAGAGCCAGTAAAAGGTGTTTGCAAGAGCACAGTGATCGGGGCTCAGGTCTGGGTCAAGTCACTAGACATCTCTTAATTGGAATTTACAAAATGGTGGCGGATTTGGCTAAGGGATGCCTAGGGTAGGGCAGGATTAGTCCGCTAAGGCTCGCTCGACTCTCAGTGACCCCTGCTGCCTCTGGGGTGCCAGCAGGCATGCGGTTCCTCTCCTCCGGTGTGGCACTGCGCTGCCTGTAAAGAGTCTGGCTACACTTCTCATTCTCCCCCTCGTTGCCATGGGTGCAGGTGTGAGCTCAGACATGCAAAACACACCTTTGGCGATTCCAAATGGGGTGAACATCAATGTCATTTGTGATTCTTAAGTTCATTTTTTAATTGTTATACTTCTAATTAAGACATGTCTATCAGCTTTCAGTAGACCACCAATCCATCTCAATCCAAGCTGGACTTTCATATACATCATACTTAAGATGCACAATTACTGGTCTTTTACTTTTCTCTTATTTGGTTAGTATTCTGGATCAACAACTTCATATTTTGTCACAGCCAGGGCTCTGGGTCTGGGCCTGCTCTCTCACTGTGTTTTCTGAGGCTAGCTGATCATGTCCCACACTTACTTACCTTCCAGCGGTTTCCACACTCGTTGCACAGCACAAAGGTGGTCATGGGCTCATCGGCACTGCGAGTCTGCACCTTCACCCACAGAGAAGATGACTCTTGTTAAAACATGCGCCCACTACTCATTCACTAGCATTACACTCAGGACACGGTGACTCTTCTATATGAGTAAACAGAAAGTTCAACACAGACACAGAAACATTGCTATTTATATATGGTTTTTGATGAAAAAGGAAAATTCACTGTCACCGTGGTCAAGAGACAGAAACGATGCATTAGCACTGGCAGTAGTCAACACGGATGGGCTTTTACACACGTTCGACTTGACAAGGCCCTGGGGTTTCAGGCTACAGCTTCACCCCATGGACACTATTCCACTAGCAATGGACACCCAAGAATTAAGCGTGCTGAAAATATTTATTGAGTGTTTTAGTCATAGTAAATTTGGCGTACCACACTTGGCTGAGGGCCAACCTCCTAGCTGTAGGACCAAGAGACTGGGACTCCCATGTGGGGTGAGAAGTGACCAAAGATTGAGGCAGCTGCAAAGACTGTGATGGGGTGGAGGAGGGGTGCAAAGGAGAAATGCGAAGATGTGAAGGGGCTTACCTACAGTATTTATAGTTTTTATTTTAACTAAGGGAAATGATGTCAGGAATGGTTACAGTTTTGGACAGCTGATACCAACAGAGCTCGGCTACTGATATGCCACCTGAACTTTCACTGTGAACACCACAGCCGGTGGCTTGTAGGCAGTGTTTCTGGCAGCCCCGAGCCTCTCAGGGGACTAACCTGATTGTAGGTACAGTTCTTCTTCCTGCACTTGGCGCACTGGAAGAGGTCCGTGGCGGTGCCTCCGGTCTTGGCCATCTGGTGCTCTCGAATGGCCTCCTGGGTCAGAACGTTGCGCAGCTGCTTCAGCTCATCGCTGGCCATTTCCTTCACGGAAAGACAGAGACGGGAGAAGATACCCCCCCACAGAACCAGCTTCAGACCTTGCTGAAAAACAGCCCGGCCCTCGTAGGTGAAGTTCTGAAATTCTACAGCACAGCTGCTGTCTGCGATCCAGCTAATCGAAGCAGGTACAGGCCAAGATGAGAACTAGTACTTTTCTATTTACAGTAACTGGCACACAATGGAGGATAGGCACTATATAGTAAGAAAAAAATCCTTCTTCCACAAAATCAAAGGATCCATCAGTCAATTTATTGCAGCAAAAAGAAATTGCAAAAATGTGCCACAGCTACTATTAGCTATGCAATCTACAAACAGCAGATATATAACAGCTTTATACTGTATATAAAAAGCATTTCATTTTCAGTAACAGAGTATCTTTTATGTTGAATGTAAAAGAAGAATGTGTTTGAGTGGATGGGTAGCAAACATCACACACGGATTGTAGAGAAGCAGCAGGAAACACATTGAGCACAAGACTCACATTAAGATCCTATGAATTATGCAGTTCTGAGCAGTAAGGACAAAAATTGTGAAAGTATTTTCCAGGAGCCGAAGGTAAGCTGACATCTGTGTATCTTCAAAGATTCATATGAGACATTATGAGTAAGAATAAAAAAAGAGCTGAATGGAGTGATTGGATGTGTCCCTGATTCGTATGCAATGCTCCTGAATATTTGTGATTGCGCAGCTTCATTCATTCGTATTTGTATCATTCCTAGGAGTCTTTCCAACAGACATTCCACACCATATAAACTAAATTAGAAACTAATTAGAAATTAAGTGATTTAAGACCAACTTACTATACCTATTTTGTTGTGCTGTACTCCCATCACAGAAACAGCTGTAAACCTATCATAGCTGTACCAGCTTTATAAATACAGTTTAAAATGTTAGACCAAGACATCCTTAGTGGTGTGCCTCACCAGCTGGGCCTTGTGCTCTCCCGCGGGTTACCTGAGGGCTGTGGCTTTGTTCCTGGCCTACCTCGGCTGTCATACTGGCGATCCTGCTGAGCTCGATGGCACCGCGGAGCACGTTCCGGCGCAGCTCGGGGTTCTTGGGGTCCTTCAGGTTGCTGATGCGGCTCCGCACTCTGTTCTTGTACTTCATGTCCGTCGCTTTGATCTCCTGGTAGATATGTGGGGAGGGGACGGTGCTAAGGAAAGGTCGGGCAGACCACGGCAAGGAGACAACTTGGTCGTTCTGAAGTCTACCTCAATACCAGCTGCTGCTCAGTACCTCGCTATCATGATGTAAAACATGAGCTTGCACAGTGGAAGTCGGTATACCTCGCTTACATATTGAATATCACAAGCTGGCTGGGGTGAAAGGAAGATAAAAGACAAAATTTCCAGAGTGGATTATATCAACCCTGCAATGGACTGGCATCCCATCCAGGGTGTATCCCAAATTGCATCCATTGCTTGCTGAGATCAGCTCCAGCTCCCATGTGGTCCTGAAGTAGATGAAGCAGCTGGAGGATGGATGGATTGACTTTTTCAATATAAAACCAGCAAGAACGAAGAAAGATACTAAGTGGCTGATCAGGTCAAAAATGAGCATTATCAGTAACAAGAGTTTTCCATAGCTCTTAAATACAGTTGGAAACAGTTAAAGGAATATCTGCTTTTTATACAGAACACCAGTTATTAGGGATACTGCTTCTGAAAGTCACTTTTGACCTGTATGTCTGTTTCTGTTCCTGTGTTTTAAATAAAAGATTATAACAGGACTGAGAGGATATGATCTTCGATTTCAGCTGCCATAGAATCACAGTTGGTGCCATATTCTTTGTAGTTATCTAGAGAGAGAAGAAAAGGAGTTCAGCTCTCATGAAAGATGCTACAGCCCGGACATTTCCAAAAATGTCCACACTCATTCTGGTGCATCATGGCGACCTGTATAGCTCTCTTTCTTAGAGGTGACTGAACTGTTCCAGTTTGACTCTCACCGTCAGTCCGCAGTGCAGCAGAGAGCATTTCAATGCATTTGTCCCGGATGGAGTCTCCAGTAAGCAGGTGAGGGGGGAATGGCCCCCCCAAAGGACTGAAGGAGGGAGACAGTGGGCTGGTGGGGGATGTTGGGGTCTTTGGGGGCTCTGGTTTGCCTTTACTGCTGTTCACTCTGCAAATACAACAGAACAAGGAATAGGTTTATCCCATGCTGAAAAAAGAAGGCCTTGTCTTTCTCACACCTGAAGAAGGCTCCACGGCTGAAACATTGTTTTCTTTCTTCTTTTTTTCAGCATGGAATAAACCTATTACTTGTGCCTTTGCAGCCTGCGCATGCTGACGCAGCTCCCCACCTGAACTACTACAACAGAATGTTACTAAACCACCTCATTACAAACGAGCAATCCGAGGATAAGGCCGTGCCACACAGAACGATCTATTCTACTGCAGGATCACTTGGCTAACAGAAAGGAATCAAAACTTCATTCTTAAAAGCACATTAAGATTGCAATTCTCAACAATTTTCCTGAAGAAAATACTGTACCGCTCATCCCTGCTCTCAGTGGAAGGTTTTCTTGGCAGAGGAGAGAGATTAGATGGTTTGGAGGTCAACGAATCCCTCCTAGAGATCAGACAGAGAAGCTTTAAAGGAACAGTCAACATTCATTTAGTTTGCACTCAATTTGCAGTTCACTGTCAGACTTTTGTTTCTGCATGTCCATTGCAATAACAACTGCTGATGAAACTGGCCACTGTGTTATATTAATAATCAGTAGTTTACATCCTTTACAGAATAGTGTTCAACACTACTGAACATTTAGAACCATAACATTTCTCCACTCTTCTAGAAAATGAAATGCTTGCTGATACTTATTCTACCTTAGGGATGTAAAAAAGGAATGTCTTTTGAATACGAGGTAGCTTTGCTTGTTGGTATAACGTCCCCAACAATACAGTATAAAGTGCTTTTAAAGCAGTCTTCACAGAGCTCAGGGTTCAGAGAAATGTACTGTACTGACATCTGTATGAATCTAAACTATCTCTTTACATCCATGCAAGTGAATGTATTACAAAGTTTGGCACTCCTCACCTATCCCTTTTGATGTCAATGGAAAGCTTTTTTGGTGAACTGTTGGACTTGGCATCAGATGAATCTCTCCTGTCAAATAAAAGAAGAGATCTGAAGACACATGTGGAGCTTAAGCACCTGTAACAATATCTACAAACTCCTCTCAATGGGGAGAATTGAAAAAAAGGGCATTGGAATGATGTTGTAAATGTGCATTTCTAGATAACGTAGATAATTTCTGACATATCAGCAGGTAAACAGGTAATTGTAACCTCTGTAGGCTCACTTTGGATAAAGATGGCAGGCAAATAGAGATACACTGGTAGGTTAATTGGCTTCTGGGAAAAGAGGGCCTGGTGTGTGCATGTCTGTTTGTGCCCAATGATGGACTGGTGTCCCATCCAGGGTGTACCCTGCCATATGCTCATTGCGACTCTGAATTGGATGTAGTGCTTAGAAAATAGAAAATGAACTGGGGTATCGTAAGATGGGATTGAACACTTTTGCAAAGCATGAGTGTGTTACAATTTTAGTTGTGAAAAGATTGATGTACCTCTCTGGTTTAGCATCAGTTGAAGGTCTTTTCACTGGGGGGGCTGACTTAGAATCAGAGGAGTCCTTCCTGCAAGACGGGGAATGGAGAGATTGATCTTTTTGCACTTCCTGTTAGAGAGTGCTACCTTATCCATCCAAATGCAGGCAGTGAATCCTACTTTAGTTGACAGGCTGATTGAAAGAAGGATAAATCACACAAGCCGCAATAGAGTCTCATCATTATCAGTCAGAACACACTTCACAACATGTCAATGTCTTGGTACAAAACCCACTCTCATTTCTAACCTTTCCTTCTTGACATCCAGAGAAGGCCTTTTAGGGGGTATAGTTTTGGCATCTGCCGAACCTTGCCTGGAAGCAGAACAAAAAGCCTTTCTACAACCTGGGATACTTTCTGCAGCACAATACAACTCCACTGCGCATCTTAACAAGCTGTAAGACAATGTCTCAACCCACTGCTTCTGAGGAAGATCACTGTCAGCTTTCATAGATTACTGTTCAACCAGAAATATCTGAACTTGTGGGTCAATTTCATACTGAGAGATTAAGCAGCTGATGAAGGTATATAAATATGAAATATTATTTGGAACACCTGTGATTGATTGCTGTTAACAAACCAGTAACCAGTAACCAGCAAATGAAAAGGAAAAGTCATTAGCCTGAAATAGATCACAATTTATGTTAAATGTAACTTTGTTCTACTGGTTAATTTGCATAGGATTGTGTAGAGTATAAATTATATTAAAATTATATTATTACAACAATGAAGGGCTGTTGCTCCCAATGACACATTAAAAGTACATTTTTTGCTGACCTTTCTTTCTTGGTTACTAGGGAAGATCGATTTGGAGGCAATGATTTGGAATCTGTTGAGTCTTTTCTGGAAATAAGGAAAATCTTTTAGTGCTTTACAAATTTTTCTTTTGAATACAGCGAGTTAAAATGCAAATCCAAAGCACTTTTTATTCATGCACGAACTTGCTGCTGTGTGTTTAACCGCAAAACAAAGCCCATTTCAGTCATGCAAGCATTATTGCCCTAGACAAGAATGACAAGCCACCGGACATGGAAACCTGAAATTGAAAAGCCACTCCTACAGTGAACTTAAGTTTCACTTCAGAGGACAAACGATGTTCTAATGATTTAAAAGCTACAAATGTTAGGCCAGACTAACTCACAGAACCTGCTTCCTTTGTAAAACAGGGAGGGTGCTATTCTGCCCTTACAATTAAAAAATAAAAACAGCTCATGTGGTCATTTACAAGCAGAAAACAAGAAGCACTAACAAGCTGGCTGTCTGAGCAGTGAAACTTGGAAATGACTGCAGCCATTTCACACCGAAAAGAGACACACAGAGGCCTTATCTTTCCCAGACCTTTCTTTTTTGCTACCAACGGAGGGCCGCATTGGAGAAAAAGGCTTGAAATCTATGGTGTCTTTTCTAGAAGACAAAAGTGACAGTGAGCTGAGCAGCAGTACGCACCATGTATTCAGCATCAGGAGACACTGCAGTACAGAATGAGGTCACAACACCACACACACAACTCTCACCCTGAGCTCTCCTTTCTCACTTCGACAGGTAGATGCTTTGGAGGAGGAGGAGGTGGTTTGGAATCTGTAGAGTCTTTTCTAGAAGAGAAAGAAACGCCCCTGCTCTGAACTGAGTTTCTAAATTCAAATTAATGGTCCCCCACACTGACTAATGTGTGAAGAATAAGGAGCTTTGAATGAGTGGATAGAAAACAAAGAAATTTCAGCTGAACACTCTTTTGCTAGTCAGCGCAAGGACAGGTGAAGTCCTACACAGTGACAGCCATATTTTCAAAGCCTGGTAAACGAAGACGATTTGCTCAGAATGGGTTTAGCAAGATCTAAAAGTACAGCTGTGGAGCAAGGTTTTCATTTCAAGCATGACTACACAGGAAAGACTCCTGTTGTGATTTTCAAGAGTACAGTACACAGGCCTTGCTTTCTCTCCAAAGACAAGTTTGACAGAAGGAGCTCTCACCTCTCTTTTTTCTGGTCACTGAATGTGTGCTTCTTTGGTGGCTCGAAGCTGGGCTTTGAATCCAGTGCCTGTTTCCTACAACACACAGAAACTCAAGGTTGGTGTAGCTATATTGATGCTTAATTTGCAAACAACCCTTCACACTTACTGCATCTTCTTAAAAGCTTTCTAGCAAGCAAATCACATCAACTGTTCCTAGTTTGAACAAGCCAAATCTGTAAGAATGCCATTCATGTTGTCTAGGCACAATTTATTTTCCACAATATTCAGAACTGTCCTTATTACCACTTCATGTCGTGTCTTTTCCTTCCCTAATTTAAGCAGATGACTATACATGTCTTTCCTCTGCACAACTGTTAATGGAGTGTTACTCCTGTGAGGATGCCTGTATACCTTTTGTACTGTAGATTACCCTTACTTTCCTTGTCATCCTGTGACGTACAGGTTAATGTACGGTACAAGCCCCTTTCGAGGTCAGGTTATTCTTTCCCTTGAGCCACTCCCTGTACCCCCATTTCCTGCCCACCTGTCCTCTTCATCCGGTGAGTGTTTGGCTGGCTGAGGGGTGAGCCCTGCTCCGACAGGATTGCTGGAGTTCGTCTCGCTGTCTCTCCCACTCTGGGTCTCCCCCTTCTGAGAGCCGGCTGATTCTAGAGACAAAGGGGGTCACTGTGCCACATGCTGTGCGAAGCTACACAGGCATGTTAAAAGTGCACATTGCATCTCACAATCGTATTTTGCAGCAGCCTGAAATAACATTTTTCTTATCTTCTCCAGGCACACAGCCAGTGTCAATGTCCTGCAATGCAACACATTGTCAGAGGCATCTCTCTTCTCATTTACTGAGATGCAACCACTGAAGGATATGGGAAATATGCTCTAGAACTCACAGTATTCTTTAATGCTCAGGCATTGCAACGGCATGACCATAAAATAATGTAATACTTACAGTACAACCCTGACTAAGAGATGAATAACACTTTGGAGTATTCAAAATTATACAGATGTACTGCTGAAGAATGAAAGGAAGGTGCTGTCTATGTGCGTTTAGTGCTTTTCCACTGACCGAAACAGGCCCAAAAAGAACCATTCATATTAGCACAGAGGGCGGAACCCATCTTTTGTGATGTATCTGATGGGGTTTGGGGTGTTTCTAGTCATTAAAGTCCAGTTTTATGTGTTACAATGTTACTTACTCTCAGAATGAAGGGTTTTTGCTCCCTCCCCTGATGCTGTGGATCAGCTCCCCAACCTTCTCCCAATAGCAGAACAAGTCACATGGCATCAGCTATCCGGGACTTGTGACATCCTTACCCAGAAGTCTCTTCCAGTTCTTGATGAGGATTTTGGCCAGTGTGACAACCTCCTCGTCCGTGCAGTGCTTCCGCACGCCATTCACAGACATGCCGATCCGTGTCACCTGCACACGCCCCAAAACAGAAACAGCTTGAGATGCTCCCAGCCTGCAGCCCATGACCAGCCAGACCCCTGTCCTTAGGGATGATTAAAGAGGAGCTGCAGTCCCAATTTCTCTGACTGGTTACTAAATCTCGGTAACAAAATAAATTATAGAAAAAAATACAAATTTCGATATAATCCACAAAATCATGAACTTTGGGTTCGCCACGTTGTTGCGAAATCACATTTGTGCAGGCCTCGCATGCAGGCCTTCCTGCTCACTAGTCACTGTAATGACTAGCGCCCTGTGATGCATGAGTGAATAAATACATTGCGCAGCAGACATTTCACTGCAGAACGTGATCTGCATGCACAGTTAACAAGTAGCATTTCTCTGCAAAAATGTCTCCGAATTGAGAGCAATATTTCTATTGGATTAAAGGAGATGTGTTCACAAGCCTGCTTCTTTACAATGTAATAAGGCCACATCACGCCAGTTTTGTCGCCTCGTTCTGAATAGCAGAATATGGCGCTGCGCACACCTGGAAATGTGATCTATTTTGTTATGTTAATTGGAGGTTTTACAATTTACTGTGTACATGTTACTTTTATAGTGGTTTGAAATGCAATACAGAATCAATACAGATTCTTTCTAATGCTTAAATATAAAAAATCACATTGCAGTTCCCCTTTAAGTGTGACAACTTATAACAAAGTAAGAATTGTCTCTGAATATGAGAAGCAAGAAACTGTGGTCAGTGAGATCATTTCCACATAGTAAGTGGATTCCCATGTCTGCTGATGATCACCTTGAAACACTAATAAGTGGATCTCTGTTCTCTGTTCTGTTCCACAGGGAAAAAAATATTTGATATAGAAAAGCAAAGTTATAGTAAAACACAGCTTGGACTGCCTTACTTATAAAAAAAAAAGCACTGCTTAATGATCAAAGGTGTGTACAGCAATAGCAATCATGGCTATCAAGAAGGAGTGAGAATACGAATTATGAAACAGGTTAATTCTTTGACTGGGAGTGTGAACTGACTTGAGTGAGTGTACTGAGCCAAAGTTTTAGTATTAAAAAAAACAACAGATTTATCAAAGCTTCCCAGTAAAACTTTTCCAGTCCAGACTTGTCCAGACATGCACTGGAAGCAAAATTACACCACAGAACAGCTTCATATATAATGCTCACTCCATTGGTGCAAGCTCTGGCTCCAGTGCTGACATTCAGGGAACCTTCCCAGGCTGTGGACTCTAAAATCATTTCCAGGCAGCTACCATTCCTAAGATACAGAGATATACAGCAGCCTTGCTGGCCTACAGTACCTGCAGCAGTTTCAGATTCATATTATATCCCTTCAGCTCCTTCAAAAGGTCCAGAGCCCCATCCTGCAGCAGAGATAAACATGACAGGTCAGGCAGGTCAGGAGTGCATGCAGTCCAACATGACAATGAAGAAATCATGGCTCATGTTCAGCAGCACACTGCCAATAGGAGAATTACCCAGAACTCCCTTTTTTAGTTAGAGCAGTACACATGAAGGATGCAGAACACTGCTAGTATTTCAAGCTGCTAGTATTCACAATAACGTAATTACAGTCCTCAGGGGCGAACCTTACTAACCCTTTCAGTGTAAAAATATTGATATCCATTCTAGAGCACTAGAACTGGTCATTATACCCTTGCTCGCAGTCTTCCCTGATCATTCTCATGGTTCTAGTTTGGCTCTTATGGCACTCTTAAACTCCATTTTCTCTCTCCCAATACAGCACCTTTACTTTTATGAAAACTTTCAACTAAGTGAGAGAAAACCCTGCCCTGGAGGAAAATGTTTTACACCCTCATGTAGGGTATGTACTGTCTCCTTGATGAAGCAAGTATCTATGCTGGGATAGTCACCTAGATGAAGCCGAGTGATTTCTGTCTATTACTCAAACATTCCAGCAGATTAGAAACGAGATGAAAAGATACGTGATTACATGGAGGCAGCAAAAACAAACTATAGATAAACAGGAATATAAGAAACAGCAAACTTCAATAAACTACTGTAGCTATGAAAGAGACATGGGTGGCAGGGGGACGCTGTGGGGAGCACTGCTGCCTCTCAGCACTGGGGCCCTGGGTTTGGTGCCCTGGTGTCACGCTCTGGTTTCTTTCCACAGTCCAAAAACATGCTGGTAGTAGAGTTGGGCGATAATTCCATAACGATAATTATCGCGATATAATTTTCCTCGATATAATTTGAACAAAAGTTCGATAAATGTTCGATATATATGTTTATGCTTTGCGCATGCGCACAAAATACTGCGCGAGTGCCGGTGTATGTTGCAGACCGGGCAGCAAACAGATTTGTTTAATGTTTCTGCTGTTTGGCAAGTGTTTGTTGTGTTCTTAAAATAAAAAGTTGTTTAATTTACCAATTAACTGTCTGGTTTCTTCAACTTTCACTCAGGAGAAAAAAAATCTGCCTTTAAACTTGAAAGAAATTATGATTTGACATTTATCGTGATAATTATCGATATCGACTGATATGAACATTTTTAGTGTGATAATCTTTTTGGCCATATCGCCCAGCCCTAGCTGGTAGGTTAATTGGCTTCTTTAAAAACTGGCCTGGTGTGAGTGAGCGAGTGTGTGTGGTCATGTCAGTGTCTGCCCTGGGATGGACTGATGTCCCATCTAGGGTGTACCCTGCCTTGCACTGGTTGCTGGCTGGGATAGAATCCGGCCCCCCAATGGCCCTGTATCAGATAAAACAGTTTAGAAAATGGATGGATAGATGAAAGAGACTTAGTTGTCGACATTGGCATCCTCTTCATCTTCAAGACAATGTGGAGAAGCAATAAAAAGGCAAATGTAAAGGCAATGTAAAAAAAGGCAAACAGCATAAGAACATACTGTACAGACCTAGTTAAAAGCGTCAAATTTAAAACAACAAAATTATTAAAAATGTACTACTGAGACCTCATTTAGAATACTGTGTACAATTTTACTCATTTAGAGAAATATAATACTGATCTTTAATCAGTCCAGAGAAGAGTAACATAATATATTCTTATCCTTCAAAGAATGTCCTAATTCCACCGACAAGCTACAGTAAAAGAGAAAATGAATTTTAATCCCAAACAGAAAAGATAACAAGGGGATTCACATATTCAAGATCCTTTTAATTTCTTAGTAATCAACAGTTGTAAACCATGAGGACACAATTGGAATGTACAGTGTATTTAAAACTGAGGACGTTTTACACTCCTCTCATTCATAATCATTCTTGTATGTTTATGTAAATAGAGGACTGTGATTTATTTTACAAAACATTAAGACACTAAGGCATGTTGCTTTTATCAGGTGAATCCATTTCCCCCAGTGCAAGCAACACCATGTCTGCCTTCATATGACACAAAGAGTTTCATTGAAACCACAGCTAACAGAAGTACAAGTATCTTTTAAGGACATCTATATATAGGTCTTGGCTGCCCTTCGTCAGATGAAATTTAGAAATCAAATTCCTAACCTAAGATATTAATAACATCAACAGTCTTTAGCTCCAAGCTAAGTATGCTCTCTAAAAAACAGTTATTCCCTATTCGTTCACAGCTATTTTATGGGGGAGTATGGCACCTTATAGAGTCTTATGTCAGGAAGTTGTGAAACTGCTCAGCTATCGATTGTCCAGATCTTGCGATACTGCTAAGCTATTACCAATCTTCACACTTCTCCAATGCTACTACTACGACATCCATGTCACAAAAGTGCAATACACCACACTCTGCACCTACTGTGCTTTGGAAATAGTCAATTGTCAACTGTGTCATGTTTGAGCGCAAAGTCACTCAAATGTGGACCAATGTTGAAGTTTTAAACTTTAACTTTTAATACCTAACTACAAGTTAATGTTGATGGGATTAGGCCCTACAGGAATATGGTATTTTCAATTTTTTGTCTTACAGTTGCTCTGACAGTTTTTCTAGTAACTGAATATTAGTTTAACACAGATGATCACAGCTGCCTTCCAAAAGTTTCAACAAGCATCAAATTTTAGTATTGGGATTAGTTTCAAATACCTGCTTAAGTAACTAAAATATTGCTTTCCCTACACGCTAAAGGAGCATTTTGCACTGTTGACACTACTTTTAGTGTCTCATACAATGATAAACTGACGTTCCCATGAAAGCCATCTAAAATGTCAATCCAGCCTCTAAGGTAAGTCAAATCAAAATTCCCTCAGTAATCACTTCTGTGTGTCTTCTTAAATCATCTACCACTCTCCCACTTTAAAATGCAGAGGTGGGTCACAGTTTAATGGCTTTGGAGGGGATTTCTAGACCAGAATTTTCAATATGAAGCTTCTACTGCGGTTGTTTACGCCACTGCTAGACAAGAAACAGGATCCGAATCGATTTCGTTCACATTATATGACTCCAAATGCGGCTCCCAAAGAAATCGCTGTCGCCTGTCAAGGGAAAATATGATACTTTGCTTTATGAACATTATAGTTAACAGACAGTTGTCAAGGAAATGCATTTTTCGTTATCAAATTCCCTATGTCACTTTCGATTTTAATGGGAAACTTTCAGTTCAAATAGGCTAACATGCAATATACAGTACAGTCCCGATTCCAAGTTGTGACTCGCCTGTTACGTGCGCAGCGCGCTGCATTGAAATGCAATATTATTCTTTTAAGTAGTTCTGTCGGTCGTAATCTGTATGTAAAGTTCATATTACGTCAGAAATGCTCTAGGTGGTCCAGTATTTGACATAAAATCTCTTGTGATTTTCTTATGCGTTGTGTAAAACCTGTTCTGGAGAAACACTAGCACCTGTGAAACACTAGCCTGCACGCCCTCCGCACTGACGGCACAGAAACAGCGCCGTAACTTTTCTAACGCGTAAGCCACGGGATCGCAAATAAAATATTCGTTAGACACAAACGCAGGTCATTCGAAAAGCTTAAAAAGTGCTGAAACGGAATTCTTAACTTAAATGCATTAAAAAAAAAACGACGATCGAGACCAAAGCAAGGATAGCGCTTCTTACAACAGAGACACGTCAAGCTACTGTAAACTGTAAACTGAAAATGTTTTCCTCACCATATTATTTCTAGACACCATCTTGTCCAGTTTTTTCGCAATCCGAATTAGCTCTTCCTCTCTTGTCATAGTGAACCCCGTGGCATGAATCGAAGGTTTCGAATGCTCAGTAAATAACCATTTATAAATTTAGGTAAATTAAAATACAAACGAAATGTTTCGAAGTTTGTTCCCAGTTTATTGGGGTTTCGCTGGCAGAGCAGTGATACAGAAGGGGGCGTGTTCTACAGCAACAGGCAATAAGATCACGGATCTCATACCGTCTGGCGAAAATACCCAGCACATGGCGAGAACTAAATATAGGCGTCAAGGACTGAGAGTAACGCGGTTTCAGAAAAAAATATCATATGTGAAGGTTTATGTCGCCCTCTGGTAAACACACCTAGGGCGTGAAGGAATGCGCTCTGTAGGCAGCGCTGTGTCCGTCTTAAACCTCTGGGTTACACTGTGGCTGCTGGTGTTTTCTTTGGTTCGATGGCCTTACCAACGCGCAGGTGTACAGCATGGAAACAAAAGCAAAATGTTACTGACTCGACCCACGTTAGTAACAAAAGGATGCATATAACCGACGGATGCTCGTATAAAAAAGGCGAATGTACATTTTCACATTCTATGCGTCCGATTGTGTATTTACAACTCGAATTACATGCTGTGTTTTTGTCCCGTGAATTCGGTTGAAGTAGCATGCTGCACACTGCATAACATCTGCAGTGAGTAAGAGTTATAGCGTGAGATGTACCGCACCCAATGTTTTAAGGAAACCTAGGAAAACCATGAACTTTCAGGTTTTTCAGTAGCCCCCAGTATGGATATATTAAAGTTTCAGCGTAATAAATTAACTGGTATACTAGCATTTTCAAATTCTGTGTTTGTAAGTGAATAAGAGTATAGCCGCAATTAACCATAATTCAGATTCTTAAGTGCTCTGGCTATCTGTGTTACATGTATTTTTTTGTAACGAGAAACCTCTTTGACACTGTGTCCCCTGAGCAATTTCTGAATGAAGACAATAATAAAAGTCATACACGGAAAAATTATCTATTTTTCATTCGTGCCCTTTATTTAGAGCCGTTTTTTTCCCAGCTTTTATTAATAAGGGGCAGGTTGAGGCTCAGACAAGTCTTTTTTTTAACATTTGCAGTAAAACATCTGAATCCCATAATCTCTTAGGCCGCAAATGACGCAGACTTTCCAGTCAAATTCCGACAGAAAAGGAGATTTGGTTAATCTTCAACCCCTCGTCGACGGGAAATTGTCAGCAACTACAACGCAGACAGACGCTTTTTTAAAG